CCCCAAAACCCCAAAACCCCAAAACCCCAAAACCCCATTTTTGAACGCTAAGATTGAAAAATTAAGAATCCATTGTGTTGTACAACTTGAGGAGTCGATCTCTATGCATCTGCATTCCTTTATTCTATCAAAATTCAAGCAAGCCTTACCTTCAGCTTGAAGAATATATCTTTTGTTTTTGAATCCATACGGAAGTATTTCTTCTTAACCTCTGGAGTTTCTTGAATTTCATCCAGAGAGGAATTCGAGCTTGAGTGAATTCTCTGTGGCATAAATTTTGCAGCTGTTCTAAAAATAGCACTTTATCCTACCTCTGGAATTTATTTCGATTACTCACTTTGTTTAACAAATATTGCTTTTTCTTATCAATGAAGGAATTTGTTTCAGACTGGCTGTCATTGTTAGTATAGTAATACCTAAAAGTCAACCCTCATCCGTACGGTTTGGAGTTATTCTGCTGATCATACCCTTGGTAGGGCCTAGAGCAGGGAATACTTTTGTTCCGAGTTCTACATTTATTGCTTAAACTTACTTTAAAAATCCTGGTGTAGTGTAATTCCTATTATTGAAGCAGTTTCTATTTCATTTTATGTTTCCTATTGATTAGACAAAGGATTTACCTCTTAGAACTGGTCTTTTCCTTGGAACTGCAATATTCAGAGTTGATCAGAAACCTTGACTGGCTCTTACTATTTATCTTCGACAGTATTTTGTTCATACCAACAGCTATGGAAATTATAAATAAACTTACTCGTGGAAGAGCTCTTCAGGTTATTCCTCTGAGGAGTGTTATTTTAATTTAATTTTCAGTTCAAATTCTAACCCATCTCTTTGAAGAATATTTTGATCGTTATCGTCTTTCTCTCTTGAGTTGACCTTTCTCTCCATTGTGTTCTATAATGTCAATTGTATCTTCCAAAAATGGTATTTACAGAGTTTTCTGATAAAGATTTTGCGATATATTTCATTTCTTTGTTCACATCTATATATTAAAACCCTTACATACCTGTGTCTAGATCATAAAATTGAGCTAAATCTCTGAAGGCTGAGCCAAATTTGGGAGGAATATATTTGTATTGCTCTTCCTTCATAATTTTCTCATAAATATTCTTAAAGTATTTTCAAAAGTCTTGCTCGTTAAAAGCAACTTGGAGCTTAGCTTTTGACTTCAAAATCTGGGTAAGAGTATTCTGCACCAGGAATATAAGGCTATAGAGGTTCTTGTTGTACTGAGCCTCTTGTTCTCGAGTTGTAAACCCACTATGAACTGACATCTTAGAAACCTTTTGGTTAAAATAATTTCAACTTAGACATTAAAATTCGGGGTTTTGGGGTTTTGGGGTTTTGGGGTTTTGGGG